CATTTTATAACTGATATCATGCTTGGAATTAAATAATGCAGTAATAATATATTCTTTCTGTAATTACAGTCATTTTGAGTAAATCATTTCAGGAATACTGCATAGTTTTCAAACAGTTTCTTAATGTCACTTCATTTATTCTGCCAGCTTGATTATGTGCTTTTAAAATGCAGCGTACAATTCCTATAATGTAATTTTGGAGAAAGTTTGATGCACATGTAGTTACTTGTTAAAAAGTTTTGTGTAAGTAGTAGCAGCATGTTGAATAGAAGTGTGAGACATCAAATATATGTTATTATCATTAGGTATCTGGAGCAATGTGGTTTTGTTAAGTGTCCATTCTGTGGTGGCCATAGTCTCAACTGCTGATATTAACTGAAATAGTCATCCAGTTCTGTGAAAGATTTCACTTCAAAATAATAAAATATTAAGAAATATGGTCAAAAGATCTTGAATTCCTCACTTTCCAAGAAATATTATTTCTTTGAATTTTGTAGTTTACAATTTCTGTGTTTGTGTCGGACATGTTCTAAGTATTGAAAACCTATTCTGTTGTCTGTACTGTCTGAACATGCATTTAGACATCTCTTTATTGTAAGATCATTCTTGTACTGATCTTTTACTACAGCAGCTTGTTGCTTGTCTTAAAAACCTAAAGTCAGACTTTCATGTAGGTGCTTCTCTGAAGTAACTTACACTTCAGAACATCACATTGACAGCAACAAGAAAAATGTGGAATCAATCAAAAAATTCCTTGAATCTCATCTGATATGAGTAAATGTTCATAGTCAAGTCAGAGCACTGCATTTGAATAAATCCTTTGTGGATTAAGGAACTCAGTGAGCATCATGCTGCAACAGGAGGTATTGGAATCCCTTTGCATGGAAGGGATGTTGGGACTGCTGAGGCTTCATAGCCAATGTACAGCAGGCTGCAGTTCCTCTGAAAAGAACATTACAAAAAACAAGAAGTGGTCAGCGTGGGTTTTGCAATAAAAAACTGTTAGAAGATACAATTAGGTTTAAAAATGGTTGTTGGAAGTGGGAAAAGACAGGGAGACCACACCATCAGTTACAGCGTGCAGAGAAGAAATGCAGCAAGGAAATCAAAGTAACAGAAGTGAAAGGCTCTGACATTTAAAGCAAGGTAAATGCTGAAAACAGTACAAGGAAAATAAAGTTAATTATTACATGATCTTTGAACCTCTAGAAAGATCTAAAATTGATACGGACTGGGAAAAAATTGTCACTGAAATAAAAGCCTTGAGAGCTTTATTTCTTACATAAGTGAAAAATAGAGAGATTAATAAGGCTGTAAAATGTATCTGACTTAAAGTAAAGACTTACAGGAAAATTCAACCATAATACACTGTGTTGAGATATTCAGCCTCTAGAAATGTTGAGGCATTCTTCTATTACTGTATTTTGATATTTATTTTGAATAGTCATGAGTAGTTCAAGAGGTGGACAAAAAGGAAATAAAAAGTAAATGCTGCATTCAGTGTAATTAGGGAACAAGATAGAAAATATTTTAATCTCTCTGTAAAGTGATGGGAAAAATACATAAATATAAGGGAAAGTCATTGTATATCTTAATTGAATAGCTCAAATAAGTAGTGTAAAATAATGAAGAAATCCTGTTCCTTCTCACTCATAAAATGTATTTTTAATTGACATTCTTTAGAAATCATTTTTGAAATGTGATCGTAGTGTAACATTTGTTCAATTTTAACATTTTCCTATAGCTTTTTAAAAGCTCCTTGGTTTATTAATACAGAAAGAACCACAGTCCTGCTGATTTCAATGCCTATGCTGAATTTTAAGGATAAGAATAGACATGAGATGACTGAGGATCAGGCCTGTTGAATTTTGTGTGCTAAACCCTTGCATCTTCCCAGGACTCTGAGCAGTTTAATTTCACTGTGTGGCAACAGGAGGAAATAAGCAGCAGTTGTGCCTTGCATGGGGCTTTTGGCTGCTCCATAACGTGTGACTGTTGGCCTTGTAAAACAGGTCCAGTCTCTCAACCTTTGCCAAAGCTATTGCATCTCCCTGAAGAGAGAATACTTTATGGTGAAGAGGAGATTTGTTTTTGTTTTCTACCCAGGCAGCCTTTCGCCATCCAGAACCAAAAAACATTTCTGAAGAACTAGGATGTTTCCCTGCTCTATTGGTAAGTAGTGAGATACAGATGGAATAGGCCTATGTATGTTCAGGGGGGGAAAAAAATAAGAATTGATTGTTGATATGAAGGCAGAGGTAATGGCAATATTCTAAAAAATCATGATAGAAGAATTTCATGGAGCTCTTTCACTGCTGAGCCTGAGAAGGAAAACATCTCTTACGTGCAAAAGTCGAATACTTAGCTAAGCAATGCCCTAAGAAATTTATCTTAAAAGTATGCACAAACTCAACTCCTTTTTAATATTGAATGTATTGAAATCCAACTCATCTGTAATGTTGAAGGTACTGATAGGCATTTTCTGTTTCTAATCTAAGAGAAGGTAGAAGATTGCAGTTTCCTAGATACAGTTTTGGCCCCATGAAGAAGGAAGCTTCAAGAATCTTTTGCCATGGTTACCATAATCATCAGAGACAGTCCTGCACAGGGGATTTATACTTCCAAACCTACTGCCAGACCACATTTGTCAGCTCCAGACCACAGCTTTGGATGTGTCCAGCTAAAATGCTCTTAGCTGTGTTTTTCCTGAGGATATTAAATATGGATTGTATCAATAGATACAAATACCGATCTTTGTATCCAAACAGATTTCTAGACTCACTAGAAATGAGGGGATTTGCATGTTTTACACACTATAAACATAACTGCTATTTTGCTCTTATCATTGCTTAGTATCTATAAAAATTACAAGGAAAATACCTTTAACCTCATCAGAACACACTGAAACTGAAAATTGAATGCAGTGTCCCTGCTGAAGCCTGAGACTCAGAATTCACATCTGGATCTTTAACCTTGTAAAGCTTTGGCTCTCTGGATCTGATTGATGAGGTGCATCTTATCCAGGGATAGAGGGAGAGACCCCTGAGGATATCTAGTATCTGCAATCTGCTTCTGGTTCTTAGGAACTGTACTTCCTGTATGGCACTTAAAATTTTAGCATTACTCAGGAGTTAGTAATAGACTCTGACTACTGTCAAAACAAGCCACAGTACATGCATTATTTAACTAGTAAGATGCAAATATAATTTGAATTAGTCAGCCTTCCAGATAGGGTGAAATATTTGGGAATTTGTTTAACATGATGATAGACTTCAACTAGCACTTCGGTCCTTCGGCATTTCTGGTCTAGCTGTGTAACTAGGTGACTACACTCATCTGAAAATAAAAATAATTATAACTTGTAAATTCCTTTAAAAGCTTTTTTAGGAGAGAATTTGGTGTATTTACTGCTCAAAGATAAACACATCCTTAGTTATGTTCCAGCCTGTCCATATAGTGATAAAGAGATGGTCCAATTTACCTGCCATGGCCTCACTAGCAATTCTCCAAGTTTTCTGTATCAAACATTAGCACAAAGCATGCACACATGAGTTTGGCCATAGCTAGAAATGCTTCTGCAGTGCTAACACAGGACACTTTGCTTCCTTCAAAATTCTTAAAGAGAGCCATAAAAAAGGGAGCCTAGATGGTTAATTATAGGCAAAAATAATTTTGCACGAGCTGTGTTGCGTGTTGAGTATTTTGGCTTCATGCAGTTGGCAGGCTGTTTACTGACTTAGCATCACTTACTAGAGTTTTTTTGGCATGAAATGAAAAACAAACTGGGAGTAACAGGGAACACAGTTTCATAAGGGAACGTGATAGCCATTTCTGTCTTCACCTTGTTTAAGTTCTGATTTTATATAGTGCTGCCAAGAGTTAAGGAGGAGATACGTGCAATTCAATTCCATTTCTCTTCTGCTGTTTTGAGCTGCAGAGATCTAAAAGCTTGTCTTTAACAAAGAGAGTGAGTCCAAAATGGTATATTTATTTCAGAACAAGGTGTTTGTCACATAAATTATGTATTCCTTTCAGTATTACGTGACAACCCAAGGGGGCTTTCCTTTGGAGAATCACCAGTGCAACCTTGAAGTCTTTTAAAACAATGTTCCTTGGTGAGTAACTTAAATGCCACAGTTTGTGGCATTTATCACTGCACAGAGCAGCTTTTGGAGCAGCTGCATCAACAGATCTGCTGCAGGATTTTTTGGGGAGCAAACAGGGGGACTGAGTAGACTTCTTTGTTGTACCTAACTGCTTCTAGTCGGGACATCCCAGAAGACAACTGTATTCCTTTCCTCTGCCAACCCCACTATTTAAAGATTTGTAGTAGGTTTTGTACATCTCTTCTGCAAGCAGCCTTCCTTGAGCTCAAGACCAAGTAAGGGAAATCTTCAGCCAAATTCCTTTTGAATTGAAAAATTTAAATAACTTGAGGAAAAAGGAGTAAGACAATGGAAAGTGGAATCCAGCTTTATTTGTAACAGATGCTATTAACACATGCTTAGTTTTATAGCCTATTCTGGCAGCCTTTCACCTCTTTCTTGTGAAAAAAACTTTTAGTATTAAAAGTTCATTGCCAGTCCCAGGCAAAAGTGCACAAATAAAATGGACTGATGGGCTCACTATAACTCATAAAAATGCATTAAATACCAGTTAAGGATTAAGAATTATCACTCATTTTATCTTTTCCTTTATTCCTGAAATGGGGTGCAGGTAGGGGAAGGAAAAGCTGTGCTGTATGCTTCCATGCTTTGATGGCACCTGTGTGGTGAAATTACTGCAGTTTTGATGTGACTGCAGATAACCAGGGAGCTCAGCATAGACTCACACCTGAAGCCTGGTGTACCCAGTTATTTCTAAATATATGGGGATCTAGAAACAACCATGAGTCTTTATTTTGGTGGCACAGGGTTTCATGCTGCAGTACTAATGCAGCCACAGATTCTGCTTTGACCAAGTGAAGCACATGCCTAGCTGTTCTTGGTTCATAAGCAGATTTTTAGTACAGAATGTCAAATCAGATAATTTATAAAGTAAAATTAGTGAAATGAGACAGGTTTTTCTCACTGCTCATTACTCATTTTTTCTGATAAATTTCACTCATTTTAACTAGGTTGTACTTCTGCTCACAGAGGGGCTTCCCGTTCCAGCTTATCTTTTTTAGATATTCAGCAGATAATTCAAATTCAAAATGTGAACGGCGCTACTTATTTTTAGAACCTTACATAAATACAGGCAGACATAGGTTTGAAAAGAACTTAGGAGAGACCAGAGAACTCTGAACCATTTGGGTAAAAAATGTTGGTAGGCACCTGTTCTAGCTCTCTTTGGTACAGTCTGCACAGGAAAGGGAATCTCCGTTGCCATCTCTTCAGACATCTCCACCTACTCGTGCTGGAGAACAGGAGAATGTGATATCATGGTGCAGGAGGTGAGACGATTCTTTGTAATAATTAAAAATGCAACAAAACTTAGTAGGATGAACTCCAGTAAAATTTTCTGTCTCACAAGGATAAAACCTACCCTATATTTTGAAATTTCCAAAATGATCAGCATAACTGGACTAGTTCCTGTACCATCTCGGAGGAAGATACCTGTCGCAGGCACATTTTATCCTCGTGCTGCAGCACTGCCCAGGTTGACCTTTTTGGGTCATTATTTAAGCGTTGAGTCAAATGGGAAAACTGATTTCTAGGTCTTGTAGTCAGTTTGAGCTTTACAAACCCAGATGGTTCATGGATTAGCTCATGGGCAAAATAAAGTTTTTCTTAGGGTCCCATATGTGTGAATGTTGAAACTCTTTCTAAACACTGATAAACTCCACTCTCTGGGGTCGCTGTGTGCCAGTGCCAATATGTTTTGTGTGTGTGTGTGGTTTTCTGCTCCTGAGAGTACTCATTACACAGACCCACCTGGGCTGTGTTAATCCACAGTTCAGTCCAGCCTCCTGAATGTACTTGGGGACCTGCCCCATAGTGAATCAGGAGTTGCATGTCAACTTTTCCAGTACCAATCCCATTGTTTTTTGCACCAGCTTCACGAGCATATTTTGACACCTAAGATGGGATGCAGGCTGCTGTAGGTTGCACTATGGTAAGGAGTCCCAATTCCCATGGTTTGAGCTGTGCAGGAAGGAACTGGTGGACAAGAAACTCCAGTTATGTCCACTCACAGCCCAGAAAGCCAATCATGTTCTGGGCTGCATACAAAGCAGCATGGCCAGCAGGGCAAAGGAGGGAATTCTGCCCCTCTGCTCTGCTCTGCTCTGCTCTGCTCTGCTCTGCTCTGCTCTGCTCTGCTGTGGGACCCCACCTGCTGTGCTGCATCCAGCTCTGGGGCCCTCAACACAAGAAAGATGTGGACCTGTTAGACCAAATCCAGAGGAGGACCACCAAGATGATCAGAGGTCTCCTCTGAGAGCACCTCTCTTATGAAGACAGGCTCAGATAGTTGGGGTTGTTCAGCCTGGAAGAAAGAAGGCTCTGAGGACACCATTTAGCACCTTGCAGTACCTAGAAGGGGCCTGCAAGAGATCTGGACATTTTACAAGGATCTATAGTGGTAGGACAAGGGGGAATGGCTTAAAAAATAATGAGAAGAGGTTTAGATTAGATATTAGGAAGAAAGTCTTTACTGTGAGGGTGGTCATACACTGGAAGAGGTTGCCTGGAGAGGTTTTGGCTGCTCCATCCCTCCCTGGAAGTGTTCAGGGCCAGGTTGGATGGGGCTTTGACCAACCTGGTCTAGTGAAAACTGTCCCTGACCATGGCAGGGGGACTGGAACTAGGTGAGATCTAAGGTCTCTTCCAGCCTAAATATTCTATGATTGAGTCCACAAATTTCCTTTGGTCAGAAAAAAGGAGCCAAGTGGTGTTTTGTTGCTGAAAGTGAGAATTGAGGAGAGGTGAAGATCAACATCTCAGTTTCAAACACTGATGAAGTGTTGCAACTAAGGATTGTTCAAATATGAACTTCTGACTTCTAACAACTTGTGTAGATGCCTCTTCATGTAGCTGATGTGCTCTTGAGGCACGCTTGTGTTTTTCTTACGATGTTCGGAGTGGATTCTGCTGTGGGACTGAGGAACTGCAAAGCTGGAAACATCTGGCTCTGAGGAGTGTTAGGCTGGCATCACCACCCTGGCCAAGAACTTCACTTTAGCCTCAAATTCATCATCTGTGGCATCAGACCACTGAGCAGATGATTGCCAAATACAAGGCCTGGAACAAGGAACAGTATAGGGACAAAGAATGCATGGTCTAGGGCTGGAAGGGTCAAAAGCAGCCTCGCTTGAGGGGCACAAAGAGCCCAAGGTTCCTCTCCTGACATGAGATCAGCCTGTGGCCTCATGCATTGATGCAAGAGCAGAGACATGAACCTGAAGTCCTCCTGGAGCAGTCATGGAACATCTGGGTGGCTCATACATGACAAGTCATGCTTGCTGCTACAGTAAAGGCAGACGCGCTCTTACTCCTCTGCCACCCTCACACACACACTCTATGAACATACTGAAAACTCAGTTTACAAATCCATCCTGGCTTCTTGTGGCACTCCCTGGCACAAGATCTCTGACTCCAAGTGCAATTTTCAGGGATGAACACCAGAACTTGTGAAAGCCAACAGACACCACCCACTGGCTTTGACAGCCCCCAAAACATGTGCCTGGCACTGGCTGTGTTTAATAGCAGACCTGTCCCACCCGGTGTCCACCACATCCCCAGGAGCTGTGGAGCAAGGACATAACTCACCCCCAGCAGCCAGCAAGTCAGGGATGGAAGCCCTGAAAGCCCTGGGCCTCTGCTCTACCCAGCAGACCGCACCCTCCAGGGTTTCCTGCCTGTGGTGAATTGTGTCAGGTTTTATCTGTAAGACAAGTTTAAAAGCAAAAAACAGAAAAAAGAAAAAATAAAAGCCCCCAAAAACAAGCAAACAAACAAACAAACAGTAAAACCAACTTAGTTCTCATGAATGAGAAACTACTCAGTCTTCAAAAGCTTTCTCAGCCTTTCGGGGAGCAGCACGTCACTCAAATAACTGCAGAAAGGTTGTGGGTTTCCTCTATTTCTTATGACCTTCAGTCTGACTAGAGAGCTTTTACCAATGATAGTGAGTGATTAACACTCACTGATAAAAATGGTTCCACCTTTCTGGGGAGCCTTTTTATCAGGATGACCTCTTTGGGAAAAACAGCTCACGGATTCTGGTGTAAGCTGACTACTCCATTGTGCTACAGAAATGAAGGGCGAGTCAGACACACACCGCCCCTCCCCCATACACGCCGATATTTAAAAGTAAAATTGATACACTAGGGCTGTAATAATCAGACTTGTACACAACATGGCCAGCCACAACTGGCCACATGGTAGTAAACACTCATCTAGAAATAGGTGTCTGAGGCTTGCTGGGAGGTGTTATCTGTATTCATAGTGTCACATTCTCTCTAATGGGCTGTTTTTCCCATCAGCCAGATCCAAAATGAAGTGTGCTTGCAAAATCAGTCTAGTTGCTTTACACATGTTCATTTTTTTTTTTGTTTCAGCTTATACAAATATGAGTGAATCTCACTAAATTACTCTCCTTTGAAAGTGGCCAAAGGCCAATTTGCCATCAAACATCCTTCCTGTGCTTTTATCATGCTGCAGAGAGCAGGGAGGAGAACAAAGACACAGTGGGCTGGTGGAGTATCCTCTGAAGTGACTCACACCACAAAGTGTGGGCTTTTTGGAATGATGCCCCAAGTGTTTATTTCCTTCTATTCTTCATCTTGTTGGGGTGTTTTTGTGTTTTCTTCCCGCTTCCCATATCTGCATTTTGTTTGTGTTTACATCTATTCTGTTCCTCATATTCCAATAAAACCCAGTTGCTGCCATTTTGTCAGAGTCTTGGGGCTGGTTGGTCCTTTTGGGGTTTGTATTTCATGTGTTTTGCTTGGTCTTTTATTGGGAAGAGGTTTTTTATATATTTGATTTATTAGAGGGGGTGCTACCTGAGGAGGATTTTGCAGTGACAATATATTTTCTTTCTTCAAAAATTTTAGACTTTTCACCAGTGTAATATTTCAGCTTAACTTCAACATAACAAATGTTTTCTCTGTGGCAAAACAGAATCTTTTTTACACATACTGTTATATCACATTTGCAATTGTACCATTTTGGCCCTGGGAAAGAAGAGGATGTGTGGTGGGAGCAACGCCAGCAGGAGCTAAAGGTGAGCAAAGGTTCAGTCTCCTCAGACCTGTCCATGAGTAGATCTACCCCTGCTCACAGATACAAATACACATCCTTTTGCTTTTATGTTGGTCCCACAGGATGAAAACTGAAGCTAGGACTGCTCTAAAAAGCACAATGCCTTCCTGAGCATGAGGAAGAGTAAGTGCTCCAGCTTCATGGGACATTGCCTGCCCTTCCTGCATACCTGGTGGAAGATTCCACTGCAGCATCCCTGCAGCTCTTACCACCTGCACAAGACTGCACCAAGATGGGTTTTCATCTGCTGTACTGCTCTGCTCTTAACAACAGCCATATAGATGAGGGGTAAGGGGTTGACTTACCAGGCTTTTAATTTTTCTGTGGAGTTTTTGCTTCAGCAATGCTTTGTGGCAGTTAGTCCACAGGTTACAGAGGGTGAGCAAGTTTGGGGGTTTTTTACAAGTTTTAGCTCCTGTGCTCATGTGCCATTTCAGACTATTATCCTAACCCATGCAACAGTTTATAATTCATAGTTGCATTGCTTTTTCCTTGTCAGGGAAGGTTTTGCTGCTCACTGAGTTATTGAGTACCTCTAAGTGTACTGGGGTGCCTCTATTCCCATATGGAGTCTTCCTTCATGAGTGTCAGCTGTTCCCAGGCACGGACACGGTGGCCTTGGCCCACACTTTCCAATACATGCCCACAGTCTCCTCACTATCTCACTTGCCCAGAGGGCCATGCAGGTCAAGCTGCATTTCTGGAGACACTGGTGTTCTCTCATTCCAGGGAATGGGACACGTGAGCACTTCCCACCCTTCCTGGTGGCACTCTAGGGCAGCAGGGAAAGAGGGGCTAGGACACAAAGGGAGTTCAATGAAGAGAGCATGAAGACTCAGAGACAAGTGATGGAGATGAGTCAGAAAGCATATGGAAGAGTGAGCTAGCCAGCAGCACTCAGGGCAAGTGCAAGTCATACCTGGTGAGCAGTCCAGGGACACCTTCCCCTGCTCTGGTCTGGGGAACCAGAACCCTTTGGTGTCCAAATGGGGTGATGATGACACCCAGGCAGCCAAGCCTTTCCCCAGGATGTCATGGGGATTGTGTGCTGGCTGGCACAGTAGCCCCATGGTGCGACAGGGACACAGCTCTCCTGCAGCCTCTGCCTCCCCAGATGTCCATCAGGCCCTAAGGAGAAGCAGGTTTGATTCTGAATCTGGGGACAAGCTTTTCCTGGGGCTTCCCAGAACCTCCTCAAATGCCCCTCTGGTCTCTGCCTGGCTAGGCTGACCAGGACAGTATGGTCCCTTGTCACCCTCTAGCAAGTTCAGAGATAACGACAAAAGGCTCACAAATATTTTTCATGGAAGCCAGCTCAGAATAAAAAGCGACCCATCATTTCAGGAAACCTCATTTTTCATTTGTAAAACACTTTCATTCAGAAAAAAAGGAGGTGGAGGGAGAAGCAAAGCAGGGTACTGCTTCTTCCCAACCACAGCAAATACACTGTACAGCAATTTCAGTCTTTGAAAAATGCAAAAATGGGACACAAGGAAATCCAGCAGTTGCCTCTTGCTTCTCATTTACAGTTGCTTGTAATTTTGGCCTAAAATATCCCAGGTTGGAGTCTGCCCCAGTCTATTTTCTTTGCCTGGAAATTTTAAGTAGTTGCTGATCATTTAGCTGGAAGAAAATATACTCTTTCTCCCCCGCTCCATGCTTCAAGAAATTTGGTGACCTTTTCCTCATCTCCCCAGGCTTTGGAAAAAGGACTTGAAATGTGGCAGGACTTCGGCTTGGGTGCCAGGAATGTGCTGCTTGCCTGCAAAAAACCTCCATCCAAATTTTGCCAAGTTATAAACCTCTGAAGAAATAAATCATCCTGATCACAGCACTCCCTAGAGCTGGACAACTAAAAAAATCCTCCCTGTCTTTATTCCACACCCAGGGGTCCCTATGAGCCCCCCTGGGGTCTGCACCTGAGCCCCCCTGCACGGAACTTTGTGTTGCAGCCCTGGGGAGTGGGTCTTGGTGGGGTCCACCACCACAGGCACCAGCAGTGCTGACAGCAGCAGCCTGAGCCCCGGAGCTGCTGGGGACAAGGCAGGATCTGGGGGTGGAGGGGAGGGCAGACATGGTTTGGAGTGGGATGAGGGGTGAGAGAGGGAGGGAGAAGTTGTGCCTGAGAGATGGTGGTGATGGGAAAGAGAAGCAGTGAGGAGGAAAGTGCATGGAGCATATTGGGACATACTAGGTGAGGACCAATCTTAAGGATGGTAATTCAGAGTTCCTCTGGGAGGTGAAGCATCAGGCTACAGCCAGAAAGGGTCCAATGAAATGGACTCCCATCTTGTTGCTTAAGTTTGCTGTCCCTTCCCTTTCTGTCTCCTTAAGCTAATGGAACCACATACCCAGGCACACAAGCTCTGCACAGAGAAGTCAAATGCTGACATCTCTTAAATTTGCCCATGTGGCCTTCATAGTATTCTCCTCTGTCTGCAAAATACTGTAAGTGAAATGAAAAATAGAAATAAAAGAAAAACCAACCGAAATCAAAGAAGCAATGTGAGACTTCTGTGATTAAAGAGATTCCCTTTGAGAGTTCAAGGAGTACTTTTATCAACAGGCTTTGTAAATAAGCAGGCTTGTAGATGATGAGTGGGTTTGTAAATAAAGGGTTGACTTTCTGAGAAGCTCAACACCCACCACTTCAGACAGCGCTGCAGCGGTGACCAGCACCTCTGAATCATGGGCCACGAGGCCTTTCTGTATTCTGAGACCTGTGCCAAAACCATCCCTTATCTCTGCTCTTCTTCCCTAGCTTGCCAAAGAGACCTTTCATGTGCCATGCTTTCATTCTTCACCATTTTAGCCTCCATTTGCACCCATTGAGGTACCCGGCCCTGGGAGGACATGGTGGGGGATCACTCCAGTCAGTCCCAATCCTCATCCAGAATTCTGGCATTTCCTTCTTAATTAGGACAATGGATGCAATTACTCATAAAAATAGGTTGCTGGAGCTTGGGGTTGTTTAGTTTTGCTTGTGGTGGGTATTGATGGTTGCTCTGTCCAGTCAAAAGCAACTCCCAAGGCCCTGGACCTATACCAGCCTTTCAGAGCCACCCCAGGGCCACAAGGCACCATCCCACCATCGGTCCAGCTCCCGGGGTCCTTGGGACAGTGACAGGCTGTGAATTGGTGCCACAAGCCCCCACCAACACCACATCTCTGCACGTACCACACTGAGACTTCGACTGTCGATGCAGGGCTGGAAAAGCCACCAGCCCTGTCTGCAGCTGTGCTGACCCTTCATGTCTCAGCTGCCTGTGAGCAAGGACAAACAGGGAGCAGCATCAGCTCCTGGAAATGCTCCCTTCGCCACCAGCTAGGACAGCACTACCTGGGCAAGGGCGAAATCTGAGAAATGAGCTCATGAGGGAGAGTTATGGGGCCTTCCTGAAGCTGGGCACCCCAAAGGCTCCTTACAGCAGCCCTGAGTGCACAGGGCAGGTGCCAGACTCATGCCTAAGAGTCTAAAGGGGTCCATGGTGTGATTTCCAGGTCTTGTAAACATATGGCTCCATTCAAAAAATGCTGTCTGTATTTTTACATCTTTTTCAGCTATCAAAACTGTAATATTTTCTTATCAACCCCCTCATTATGTCACTTTTTCAAAAGTGGCTAGGGAGTGATCTAGTTAGTAATGTTTCCATTCTTCTGCCACTTGCCCCATTGACTTAGACGGGAAACTTCTGAGGGCAAGAAATGTCATTTATTAGAAGCAACTGCAGTTGCCAACCTAATTTTGGTTTGCTGTCTAGACAGAGCATTAATAAAAATTGAGCCACCAAATGCCTGAAAGTTCTTGTTTGATGGCCTCAAGCTCACCTTCACATGAGGGGAAATCAAACCTGTGAGTTTTTTGAGGGCTTATGTTTGGTTTGGGTTTTTTGGTGTCTGTTTTGATTTTGACTCCAACATGAAGATGACCTGATTTATGTATGTGTCTTCTGCTTGCCTGCTTGCATGTGTGTTGATTGTGCCCTGCTTCTATTAATTGAATTAGGAGACTTCATATAGGATGTTCTACTTTTTCAGAAGTTACATTGTTACTACTGGAAAAAGGAAAATCAGATTGATTCTTTAAGTGACCACTATAGAAAGATGTCCCTTGCTTTTAAATTCCCTAACTCCAAGTAGGGTAGGCTCAGTGTTTAAAAAGAGATAAACATTTCTGTTTATCTCTGCTTATAATCACATGGGCCAAGGACTCATTTCTGTGTGAATCTTTTCTAGGAAATTACTTCAGACTGCTCCATTGAGCTCTCTTCTGGCTGTTACAAATCCCTGTTTATGTTGCTATAGCTTCATAAAAACGACAGGAGAAAAATAAGCCAGCCCCCCATTTATGTGTGTTCTGAATTGCTGTCATAAACAGAGGCCTGGATTCATCAGTTTGGGAATCCTTGAAGTGAAAGCAGCACCAATTCCCATCACCATGCTGTGTGCTGGGAAAGGGCAGCAGGAACGCTGCAGCTCCTCGGGACGTTTGGTGGTGGATCAGGGGATCTGCTGAGTTTCAGATAAACTGGGAGGTCTATTGCTGCCACCAGCGTTCCTGGAGGTAAGGTCAAACCACCATTACTCTCTTTCCTTCCCTCTGAGCACAGGTTTTGAGCTAACATTCTTCTCAGCATCAGACACCTCCCTTGAAAAGACTGGAGGAATAATCCACACTCTGCATCATTCTGCATTGCAGGGAAACAAACCTCTTAGTTTTGCAGCTTGACTATGTTTCTTTAAAAAATTAGGGGGTTTGGGAAGGAGGGAAAGAATTCAGAAAACCAGCAACAGGAAGGGAAACACTAATAAAAGTGTTCTTGGTCTATCCCTGGAGAAAAAGAAGAGCCCCACTTTCATTTAAGGTGATATAAGCCCCCAGACACCCCCCCCTAACAACCGTCTGGAGGATGAAGTCTGCTCTCCAACGTGGCTTTGCAGAGGGAACCCCACACCCAGGAGCAAAAGAGCATCTCCAGTTTGGCCAGCAGCACTCAGTTGTCCCTGCACCCCCTACACACACTTCAGAGCTGCAATTCATACAGTGACTGCTGAAGTAAAATCAGGAGAAATGAGGACTATATATAAAAGAGCTGGAGTAAAGGCAAGTTCTGGATTCTGCTTCTGAGTAAGTCTCCTGTTTTTAGAAGAAGCCAAGCTTTGCACACCCAGCCCCTGAGCGGCTCAGCCCTGCTGTGCTGCCATGAGCGCCGGCAGTGGGGCCCCAGCCTGCAGGAACAGCTTTGCCTCCAGCCCTGCCTCGCTGCCTGGGCACCCAAAACCACACTCCAGCTGCATCACACAGGACCAACCCCGGCTCCTGGAGAGGCATCCCTTCTGCTGAGCTTCCTCTGAGCACCTGTGGAGCACAGCTCTGGAGAGCCAGCAGTGCTCCCGGCAGGATGATGGCTGAGCCTTGAAGTCACTGATTTTGGCAGAGGTGAAGAGACGTCCTCCCCACCAGTAAGCCTCTTCTCCATCGTGTTCAAGCCTCCTTTGCACATCCCTGGCTGCTGCCTCCAGGGACAGCAGTGTCTGGGTATCTCAGTATCTCTGCTGAGTCAGCTGCACCCATGCATGGCCAGGTGTCAACACCAGAGCAGGCAGGTGACTGGGGAGACTGGACTGGGCCAGGCCCCACTCCAGATTTCAAACTTTCTTAATGATGTGAAGTACTTTTGAATGGCTTCCTTTTGCTATTATTTTATATTTTATTTTATTTTATTTTATTTCATTTCATTATTTTACTTTCTTTTACTTTATTTTATTTTTATGGTTTCTTAGAGACTTAGAGACTTTTTTCTCCCCAAGAAAAATCGTAATGAAAACTTGCTTTCCCCCCATCCCTTGCTGAATTAAAAAAAAACCCAAACTAGACAGCAAACAAAAGCCCAAATTCCAAATGTCACAAAACTCCCTATGTCTTCTGCAAAACAGAATGCTTATTGTCCCACAGCCCCAACTTATTGACAGGCAGAGGCAAAGCAGACAGACCTGTGGCAGCATTGGGAAAGAAAAATAAAAAAAAAAAAAAAAAAAAAAAAAAAAAAAAAAGAAAAAAGAAAAAAAAAAAAAAAAAAAAAAAAAAAAAAGCAAACAAGAAGGAGAAAACACAAACACTTCCACTTGGGATGCAACTCAGCTCCCAAGGTGCTGCTGCTGTGAGCATTGCCCAGGCTGCAATGAGATGCTGGAGAGTGTGGGGCCAGAGACTTTCCCATCACCCAGGACGAGGGCTTCCCACATACCATGGGGCTGGAGAGGGGTGTTACATGGGGCAGGGCCATGCAAACACCAAGGAGTTTGTTTTGCTGTCTGTCAAAGCCAAACCAGCACAGGCAGCAAAATTGTAGCTGTTGCAAAGAAATGAACACCAGGGAGCCACCTTGCCTCCCTCCTCAGCCAGTGCTTCTGAACTAGAGGGAGGCAGAAGTACTAAGTGAGAATAAACAAGCAATGGGGAAGGAAGAGCAGGAGGCAGCTCCATTCAAACTGGGTAAGAGAAAAAAACAACTTTAAAAAAAAAAATCACTGGTGTGAAGTTCCTGATGCCAACCACAGAACAAAAGGAACTACCCTTTGGTGTAAGTAAATGTGGTCGAGTAGCTGTTCTCTCTTCCGGCAGGCTCCCAACACTAGTAAGGGTTCTACCTGCAGGTGAAGCATCCTGGTCCCTCCCAGCAGTGCCCAGCTCATGCAATCCCCACTACTGAGTAGCAGGAGCTGCCCTTCTCAGAGGCAGCTGGAAATGAAGACTATTTCACACAGCCAAAACATCCAATACCATCAGCTGTGGACATGGTTTGAGAACATGGGGCTGCAAAGCCCTGGAATGGCTGGACCTGTGTGGACATGTGCATCACATAGCCGTGCTCTTGTTAGCTTCGCTTGGGGCACATTCTTGGGTTATGCTGTCGTGAGGTTTTTTTAATATCCTGGACAGATTTGGGGCACACATC